AGTTGTACCCTACGTTGTACCCTACGCCGTACCCTGTGCCGTACCCTACGTTGTACCCTACGCTGTACCCTACGCCGTACCCTGTGCCGTACCCTGTGCCGTACCCTAAGTTGTACCCTACGCCGTACCCTGTGCCGTACCCTACGCCGTACCCTACGCCGTACCCTGTGCCGGACCCTACGCCGTACCCTACGTTGTACCCTACGCCGTACCCTACGGCGTACCCTACGCCGTACCCTGTGCCGGACCCTACGCCGTACCCTGTGCCGGACCCTACGCCGTACCCTACGCCGTACCCTACGCCGTACCCTACGCCGTACCCTGTGCCGGACCCTACGCCGTACCCTACGTTGTAGCCTATGCCGTACCCTACGCCGTACCCTGTGCCGTACGCTACGCCGTACCCTACGTTGTACCCTACGCTGTACCCTTACTAGCACCTTCTCATAATTGTAACTACACGTCGCGACAACACAGACTACAAGAACTGTGAATGGTCTGCTTGGTAGCATTCATTTTTTTTTTATAAGAGTGAATAAAGTGTGTACTTATATCGCTGACTGAAGCGCTATTTATATCTAATATTAAATAACCCACACTGGTCATTGTAGAAACAGGTCTACAAAACACTCAGAATGACAGCGTCAGTTTCTCTTACCTCCATTAAGAGGATTACTACTTGATAGGACTAGAAAAAAATTTACTTTATAAGAGAAAATGCATAAAAAGCGACTTTGTAGCAGCTCGACATTTTTACCAATTTGTCTACAAGAATTCTGGAGGAGCACGAATATAACCAGGACTTGATAAATGGATACACTGTTCAATGTTTTTTTCCTGTTTCAATTGCGTAATTCAACAATCAAATATATTGCAAGGTGGGAAGATAATAAATGCAACATCCAAAGCTAAGTATCACTCATCGTTATGGTGGTGTAATTGGTAAGCGGCAGTTTTTTTAAACTTTATCTGCATATAAATTTGAGTAACCAAATTTTATTATTTTTGGTGTCGATTCCACCATGGTTACTTCACGGTAGCGCGCTGAACTGCGTTCACCAACAAATCACGTGTTCATCTTGTGTCAGCATGTTGTGGCTTCTGTACTCATGGGTGCATGCATACAGCATTTCTGAGGCTCTAACGAGAGCAGTCAGAAACACAATTGTGGAAAAACCAAGATGGAAACTAATATTAATTGCAATGATAGAATGAACAACTGTACAAGTCATTTATAATTAGTCAAGTCTCAAGTCAACAATATCCAAGTCTAAGTCAAGTCGAGTCTTTCCATAAATTGGAAACTCATGTCCTACTTGAGTCAAGCGCTGTGACCCAAATCGCCCACCTCTGGTATCCGGCACCAAGATGTTAGTAACAGATTCCTTAAGTCCCGTAAGTTGTGAGATGGGGTCTCCATGGATCCATGGAGTTGTTGTCCAGTTCATCCCACAGGTGCTCAATTGGATAGAGATCTGGGGAATTTGTAGTCTTTTTGATGTTCCTCAAAGATTCCTGAACAATTTTTGCAGTGTGGCGGGGTGCATTATCCTGATGAAAGAGGCCACTGCCATTGGGGAATATTGTTGCAATGAGGTTGTTTCTTGGTCTGCAACAGTGTTTAGGTAGGTGGTATGTGTCAAAGTCACATACACATCAATGCTAGGGTCCAAAGCTTTCCAGCAGAACATTACCCAGAGCACCACACTGCCTGTGCTGACTTGCTTTTTCCCCCAAAGTGCGCAGTGGACCGTGGTCAGCATGGACACTCTAAACTGTCTGCAGCTACGCAGCCCCAAACACACTAAGCTGCAATACACTGTGTGTTCTGACACCTTCCTATCATAGCCAGCATTAACCTTTTCAGCTGGTAGTGCTACTGTAGCTGTCCTGTAAGATCAGGCTAGCCTTTTGCTCCCCACGTACATCAAAGAGCTTTGAGTGTCCATGACTCCATTGCCGGTTCACCAGTAAACCTTCCTTGGACCACGTTTGTTAGGACCTGACCACTGCGTGCCGAGAACACCCCACAATACCTGCCGTTTTAGTGACGCTCTGACTCAATCGTCTAGCCATCACTATTTGGTCCATGTCAAAGTCGCCCACATCCTTGCGCATTTCTCCTGCTTCCAGCCCATCAACTTCAAGAACTGACTTTTCACTTGCCTAGTTTATAATGGCACCTGTAACGAGATAAACAGTGTTGTTCAATTCACCTGTTAGTGGTTTTAATGTTATGGCTGATTGGTGTAAGTACCCAGTTCCACCCATGAAGCCAGCAGCGTCCACATAATCCCGCCCTAATTCGCTTCATCCTGAATCTCACCATGAAACATTGAAATAACAAGATATTCTCTCATGGAGATTAGAGCATTATTTTCGGTTTCTTTCATTTACTAGCTATTTTTTCTGTTTTTATGACCAGAAAATTATCTGTGCCTTATGAAATTACGCTCGTAAGAAATCAGTGACACAAAAGCCCGTTGATCGATCTCCTGATCCGAAGCATGCGTCATAAACTGGAATGTCCTCCACCATTGTCGGCGTTCCGGAAAGTTCTGCCAGAGTCACGTGGCTTTGCTGCCAGCCAGCTTCATGCCTTTATAATAAAACCCCCAAACGTAAACTGTGTTATATTTGTTAGCACCCATGCTACACTCTAAATTCTTGCCTGTTTTTTTTTGTTCTGCTCAGGGATACGAGCTGGACTGGGACGACTTAGTCCATTGGCGGCGGACCACAGTTCCAGCGCTCCCTCCCCCCCCCCCCCCCCATGCCAGTATGTGAGAAGTGTGACATTAATGTGGGTGAGTTAACATTTAAATCCGCCGGGCGTTTTCCCTGTCGTCCCAGATGCTGCCTGGTATTTTAATCAATGATCCCTTGCTGACGGGCCGTATGATTTGCCGGCGATGGATTATGTAAATGAGTCCTATAGTGAATTCAATCGATTAAATTACACACTCGTTTTAACCTTACAGTCAAGGGCTGAAATAAAGGCCGCAGTCCTGTGCAGTGGCCCGCTGTGCCATGTGACTTGGCATGGAATTCTGGGAAAGCAGGCGGGTGGGAGAGAACCTCAGTGCGGGGGGGATCCAAGCGGATGCGGTTCCAAAGGTACCACGAGACCACCGTGGCTCAAGGTTCCGGATTTTCCTGAACCTTTTAAAGAATAAAAAACGATGCTGGATTCTCTGGCTCTCTCTCCCCTTGTAGTCGGTGCTCAGCTTCCTATATGCTGACCTCACGTGCTGCGGTCCGCGACCTTATTACACATTTGGTCGCACCTGTGGCAAAAAAACCCCGCTTATGGTTTTTTCTATTCTATTGAGGCTATTGAGACCCGGAGCTCAGCCTTTCAAAGGGTCACCCCTGAGCCTCCAGGCAGTGCCACCGTGTCCTGGAAACTGTGCCACCTTCCCTGGAATTCGCTGGAACTCTGCCCACGTCCGTAAAGTGACTTCCTTCTTTTATGTCTGTTTTTCATTGAGACAGAAAGTTGTACACACAATGCCTCATCCTCTATCCTTCACCTCTCTGGGTGGGTTGCACTCAGAGGGATGCAGGAAGCCCTGCTGAAAGACTTTGAAAGTTTTCCATGGTGTTGATGAGGTGCTATTGGACTCTTGGGGGGAGGGGTGCAAATCATGGGCAGGTGTGAAATATTTGAGAATTAATTAGTTCTTTTATTGGCAGGACACAACCTCATTTCCCACAAACAACAAGGCAGGACAGCTGCCGGAACGTAACAATGACTGATTTCGGTAATAATTGCGGTTATTTTTTACAGCACGTTCGCGGTCACGCATGCGTTGATGTTCCTCTTCTGATTTTATTATTATTTTTTCCAAGGTGGTTTAAGAAATATTCGAAATTGCCAGTGCTGGTCAATTGATTGATCTCAGTTCCCCGCATGAGTGTTTCCATGGTATGTGGTCAACCAGCCTGCCTCACAGGTTAATTTCTGCTGGACAAAGGGATCCATAAGGGGAAAAAAGATTAGAGATGAGAAGAAAGAACAGCGGAAATCGATTGTCTGCCCTTCCGGGACCTCTAGTAGCGAAGCCAATTTTGACAAATAAAGTAATATTTATATAAGAATTGAGGAGTGGGATGTGATGTCACACTGCAAGACCCGGGTTCGAAGAGGGGTGGCAACGAAAAAGCGGCATGATTGTGAGATGGTTGATCCACCGTGCTACACTGTGGTTCAATGGCAGAGTTTGGATCGGAGCCTGGAAAATTTTGGTGTGCTGTGAGCCGACCTTTCAGGGCCCGGGGTCTGAGTCCAGGTGGTGGGGCAGGTAAGGACACTCCTGAAACCTGCTGGACCAGGAGGCCTCTGCTCTAGTGCCTCCAAGGTCCTTTTCCTCACATCCATCTTCCACAACCACTTACCCAGCACATGGTCACAGTGAGCCTGGAACATCTCCCAGAATGCACTCCGGGAGGCTGTGGACAGGATGCCTAGGATGTGCATTTCAAGGCCTGCACTGGCACACACTAAGGGCGCTGAATAATCCGCCCCCCCACCCCTAGGAAATGAACACAGAACCGAGGGTAGCAATCGGGTCCTCAGCCCAGGAGGTGTGAATCTGCAGCGTTGCCCACTGAGTCGTTATGCTCAGCCTAACTTTATAAGTCCAGCTATAAAAGCGTGTGGATTAACACATCAGCTAAATGACTAAAGCTGCTTTTGAAAGCCATGGGGGGGGGGGTCATCGAGGTGGCAGTTCCCGCGGTGAGAGCAGCCCTCCAGCTGCCCAGCGTTATTTTTACCGAGGAAATTGCTGGAACGTTTTAGTCGTCATGCTTGGACACGTCGTTTTATTTACGCCACCGAGGCTGGTGACAATGTCAGCCGCGAGAATTTAAATAATTACACGCTTAGGTGCGAGTTGGAATAAGGTCATAATAATGAGAGCTGGGGTTGCAGCAAGTGAGATATTAAATGTCAGAGACCCATTCTAGGTCAATGCAAATAAGCGGAAGGTTGAAACGACACTCCCGCCTCATCTGAAGGTGTGAGCTCCTTGGGCGTGCTCTGTAATGAGCAGCTGGGCATACAGTACTGATCAAAAGTCTTAGGCAGTCAAGTTATATCAGTAAAAATGTGCCAGCTTAGCCATTTCAAAATCTCTCCAAAAGTCACCCCAGGATTTGCAGTAACCATTGAATACACAGTTCTGGACAGGTCAGGTTAGGTTAGGGAGCATGCACTGATGCAGCGTGTTGACGCACCCACTACATGCCGAAACTCCTCGGGATCCTGGCTGGGGACCCCCCAGGCAGATACACAGTCCAATCCAACCCCCCGGAAATGGCCACAGCCATCTGCCGCGGCCAAGTGTTACGTGACCGTCCCCTTGGCCTGGTCCAGCCCCTCAGGTCCTCAGCAACGAGGATCCTGCAAGATCACCCTTAGGGAAACCCGCCACATGGCTATAGTGCTGTAACTGACGCTCCCTCACAAAGCATTCAACACAAAGTCAAACCAGCGGTGCACAAGGACTCTCTGAAGAGACACAGTACCGAAGGAGTCCAGTCTTTGTCTCAGCTCACTGGATAGTGTCCATGTCTCACAGTCATACAGCAAGACAGGGAGCACCAGGACTCTAAAGACTTGGACATTCATCCTCTTGCAATGATATCGGGAGCCACACACCCCTTTCCAGTGACCCCCTCATGACCCCCCATGCTCTTCCAATCCGTCTGCTGACTTCATAGGAAGAGTCACCAGAGACATAAATGTTGCTGCTGAGGTAAGTAAATCTTCGGACGAGGTCGACATTCTCCCCACAGACAGACACACTACTGATGGCTGTGTCTTAGAAGTCAGAAGAAGGCCTGGATCTTGGTTTTTATCCAGGACCTTCGCAATCCCAGACACTCAAACTCCTCGTTCAGTCTCTCAAGAACCCAGATCAGAGCCTCCATTGGCTCTGTGAAGATCACAGCATCTTTGGCAAAGTCAAGATCAGTAACAGATGCCCTACAACCACTGGACCCCACAACCCTGCCTAACACCCAGTCCATGCAAGCATTGAACAGAGTAGGAGCAAGAACACACCCCTGGCAAACCCCAGAATCAACTGTAAAGAATGCAGAGGTTCTCCCACCACTCTGCACAGCCCTCACCGTACTAGTGTACAGGCCGGCCATGATGTCCAGCAGCTTCACAGGGATCCTGCAAAGTCTCAGGATGTCCCACAGGGCAACTCAACCAACTGACTCAAGTGCTTTACGAAACTCGACAAATACCGCAAAGAACCTCTGCCGATATTAGCACTTACGCTCAATGAGAACCCTCAGAGTCAGGATACGATCAATGGTAGACTTCTTAGGCGTAAAACCAGACTGGTTCAGATGCTGGTATGCAAGCAAGTCATCACGGATCCTGTTAAGGATGACCCCATGCAAGGACCTTAGCCGGCAGTGAGAGCAGTGTTTTCCCCTTGTAGTTGCCACAATCCAGGTGATCACCTTCCCTTTAAAGATAGGGGCTACAAGTCCCATTTCCAGTCAGTTGGGATGACGCCTAACTCGCAAATGGGAGCAAAAATTTCCCGCAGTGCCAGGAGAACAGCCTTACCAACAGCCTGGAGAAATTCACCCCAGATACCACAGATCCCTGCTGCCTTCCCTACTCCCAGCTGAATCATCACCCGTGCAATCTCAGTGAGATTGGGTGGTTCACAGCTGATTGGAGGATCAGCTTCGAGAACTGTGAAACCAGAGATGTCCAACGTCGTAGCTGAAGGATCAGCTTTAAACAACTGTTCAAAGTAGCCGTCCCAGTGGGTTACAACTGCTGTGTCCTCTATAAGGACCATTCGATCATCCACCCTGACTGCAAGTCTCCGAGGAACAAATTCAGATGTACGTAATGCTTCAATTCCTCTGTAAGTAGGATGTGGGTCACTTGACCACAGATGGTGTGTTACCTGCTCACAGATTTGTCTAACAAATGCCTCCTTATCTGCCCTCAGAGCCCTCACAGCCATCTTTCTCAGCTCCCGGTACAATCTGGAGTTGCCACCAAGTTGTGCGCTGCGACTTCTCTGGATAATATCCAGGGTGCCCTGCGAGATGAAACGCCTCCTTCTGGGAACACTGGCAACACCAACACAACCCTTGGCAACTTTCAGGGTCTTACAATGGATAAGGTCTCCCACATCACATTAGCATTGGCAGTCACACCCAAGTCTGCAAATTCCTCATACAAACTCCATGCAAACTCATCAGAAACAACTTGATCTTGGAGTCTGGCCAAGTCTAGCCTTATTCTCCTAGTAAGCCTACTGTGTCTAAACTTGATCTTCAGAGTAGCAACAACAAATTGGCGGTCAGAATTCACAAACTGGGCACTTCTGTAGACCTTGCAGTTCTGCAGGAGTCTCCAGCATCTGCCCACAACGATGTGATCGATCTCCTTCGCCATACCTTCAGTATTGGAGTGCCAAGTCCAGCGATTTGGCTTAGGGCGTTGGAACCAGGATCCAGTTACCCGCTGCTCCTGACCTTTGGCAAAGTCAAGGAACATGGAGCCACTCACACGCCATTCCCCAGACCCATGGGTACCGACACAATCCTCATAGTCAGCCCTGTCATTGCCAGTGGGCGCACTGAAGTCACCCATGACCAGAGAAGTGTCACTTCGTGGACACCCATCAACCACCGAGCGAAGTTGCAAGTAAAATGTCTCACTCAATGAGACATCACTCACTGCGGTCGGAGCATACATGGTGACAACAGATAAGATAC